CAATCCAGTTCTCCAGATCAGAGTCCCGCCGCTCTTAGTCACTCCACCAAACTGGCTCTCAAAAGGGTCGACAGTTGAGTGCATCCTTTAATATTGCTGTTGTACAGAATGCATTTCGGAGACTTTGGGAATCGAGTTATTCCAGACCTCGGACAGAATCCGTGGCACCTATTTAGGGGGAAAGCCTACGGGAGTGGACAGAGTGAGGCCCGAACCTCCGTTTCTGCTGAAAGACCTCACACCGTCCTGCTCGGAGGGCTGCCAATGTTGCTTCCCGGCTGCCTCTGTGCCCCAGGCCTTTCCCGGAGGGACCACACAACAGACAAAAGAGGGCTCTGTCCTTTCCAGAGGGACCGGATTTACCGCCTTGGGTGGGGAGCGGCAGAAGGCAGGACGAGAGGCCTTGGCAGGCCCTGCTGGCAGGCCTTTCCCTCCCCCTTCAGTTTGGGGTGGGTGGATCGGAAGAAACTCAAGACCAATGCTCCCTCTAAGGTGTGGAGTCTCATGAGCAAAAATCCTACTTAGTGAGCTACTGGGATTAAAGTCGATTTGGCTCCTGCATCAATCAGTTTGCTCTGGAGCCCTCCTTCCTGAGCGAAGACCAAAATGTGTGAGCCGGAGGCTAAAAGACTGTGAGCTGGCTCACCCTAACTCAGCTTAGAGGGAACACTGCTCGAGAGCATCCCCCACTCAGCACAGCCGAATTATTACCTGCCAGCCTGAAGCCCACGCGGCTCTCTGCCTGGATCCACCCACGTGCACGCCACACACACAGGAGAGGGCGGGAGAGATGCCACAGCCACCCACACAAAGCATCGCACAACTCGGAGCGACACCCTGGAGATCTTTTCTGCCGGGGGGTGGCATTGTTTGCGATGGAAACTTCCCCCCACCCCCCGCCTGCCTCCAGTCCAAAACCTTCCAAATGCTGTGTAGTTCTTCGAAGAGACAACTCTCGCTCGCGGCGGGAAAGGGGTGATCCGAGAATTAGGGGGCTTCTCGTCTGAGTTATGTGCGATCCCAACCGTTGGCTTTCGCAAAATTATTCACGTCTTTCCTCTGCAACGTGGCCGGACCTGTAATCGAGTCTCGTTTTCGGGATCTCGCCAAAGCCATCTGTCCGCTCTTGATGTATGCTTCCCCTCATGTGTCAGATCTGCTCTGGTTCGGTCAAGACGGGAATCCTTTGTTGCAAAGATCGGAGCGGTCCCCCAAATCCGCACTCGCGCACCTTTGGGGAAACTTTCCTAGATTGCTCGAGCCAGCGAGCCACGCCGCACGAGGCATTATGTCCAAAAAAAACGGCCACCAACGGAAGTGGGGGGTGCCCCAGTTTTGGCAAATTTCTACTTCTGCACTTTTGTACTCTGTGGTGGACAAGCAACCCAGAAAGAGGAAAATCACTTCCTCTCTCAGAAATGACAGAGTTCCCCGATTGCAATTAACCCCAGTGACACAATGCTCACCCACCCCCGTCCTCTGTATGGTGCGATCCCGAAAGACCTCTGTCATCTGCTTTCTCGGAATTGTCCCACCAGGGTCCGTCCATGAGAATGTAAGAGACGTTCAGATGACTGAACCGCAGGGAGGAAAGGACAGAACATTCAGGGCCAGTGAAATGTCACTGTAGGCAAGACCGAATTAATTATCGTAGGGCATTGTGTGTAGAATAGCCAAGAGATCCTAAGATTGTCTGGCGGCCAGAAGTTCTAGCTCTTTAGCATTATGCACCACTAGGTGGTGAGCTAGACTTGGGTTTGTTTTTTTAAGGGAAGAGGCATTTCAGAGGTGGTTTGCCATTGCCTGCCTCTGTGTCACGGCCCTGGTATTCCTCGGAGGTCGGCCCTTCCAAATACTAGCCAAGGCCGACCCAGATTCGCTTCCAAGATCTGACCGGATTGGGCTAGCCTGGGTTAACCGAATTTCAGTACCGTGTATTTTGTCATAGGGTGAATGGGGTGAAGGGAAGGACTTTGTTTCAGAGCGTAGCCTTGCCGGTATGCAGTAGAAACGGAACTGTAATTTGGAAAACAATTGGTGGTGTTCGGGGTCCTCTCTTCCCCTAGATCCCCCTTATCGGCTTCAGGGCCTAGGATGGGGGAAAGCCATAGAGTTGGAAACTTTCCAGAGTCTCCCGGAAGCCCTTTGAACACACTGCCCCCAAAGAAATGCCTACATTGCCCGTAGGGTGGAGGTGAGCGGGGCTTGTAAGGTAAGGAACGAGAGAAACGTGCAGCAAGAGAGTGTTGGTGTGCAAAATATTTATTCGTACTTCTCTTCCCCTGCCCCAGCATTACACATTTCAGATCCAGATGGGGCATCCAGGAATTTTCCCTCTCCCCCTGTTCATTCTACAACATGCTTACCCTCGGCGGTATGCTTCATCTCTCCCCAGCGGATGAAACGTCAGCGGGGGCAGGTGGTAGGGCAACTGCAGGGCCCCGCTATTACACGACCCCTGGGGGCTCTTATGCAATGTGCCTCAGCCTGCCCACTGTGGATCTGCGGCAGAGCCTCTGCTTGGCATGCAGAAGGCCCCAGTTCAATCCCCGGTATCTCCAGTTGAAAGGACCAGGCAGGAGGTGATGGGAAAGACCTCAGCCTGAGACCCTGGAGAGCTGTAAAGAGGGGCCGTGGCTCAGTGGTAGAGCCTCTGCTCAGTCAGCGGGGGCAGGTGGTACGGCAACTGCAGGGCCTCGCTATTACACGACCCCTGGGGGCTCTTGGGCAATGTGCCTCAGCCTGCCCACTGGGGAAGGGGCTGTGGCTCTGCGGCAGAGCCTCTGCTTGGCGTGCAGAAGGTCCCAGGTTCAATCCCCAGCATCTCCAGTTGAAAGGACCAGGCAGGAGGTGATGGGAAAGACCTCCGCCTGAGACCCTGGAGAGCTGTAAAGATGGCTGTGGCTGAGTGGCAGAGCCTCGGCTTGGCGTGCAGAAGGTCCCAGGTTCAATCCCCAGCATCTCCAGTTGAAAGGACCAGGCAGGAGGTGATGGGAAAGACCTCTGCCTGAGACCCTGGAGAGCTGTGAAGAGGGGGTGTGGCTCAGTGGCAGAGCCTTTGCTTGGCAAACAGAAGGTCCTCGGTTCAATCCCCGGTATCTCCAGTTGAAAGGACCAGGTAGAGGTGATGGGAAAGACCTCCGCCCGAGACCCTGGAAAGCCGTCGACAGTCCGAGTAGACAATACTGACCTTGATGGACCGGTGTTCTGATTCAGTATAGGGTATGTTCGTGTGTTTGCTGCTTAACCAAGCCTTGCTCAGCATTAGTGCTGTGGACCCTCTCCATCTGACGGCCTCTCCCTCCCAAACGGACCGCGCCCCCCCTGCAGTGCCCACAGCCCCAGCCCCAACCAACGGTGGCTAAACTTTCGACATACTGGCCTGGTTGTCATCTGGGCTTCCTCGAACAGGCAAAGACTGAAACGCGGGCCAATTCTTTCAGACTTTATATTATGGCCAAAGCGTTCTCGGTCTCCTTGGGTTCCTCTGCGACAGCCAAGCGCAAATATGCCAACTCAGCTCCCGTCTCTGAAGTCGTAACAGATTTCACGTCCGCACACCGGAATAGAATACGGCCCTTTCTGGGAATCAAGACGGACCAACTCTTATCTAGGCGGGTTCTTCAACATAAGAAACAGACTTCTGAACTGCGCAATTTTGGGTCTGCGCCGCACGGACTCAAGCGCTGGGGGAGTGAACAGAGACAGGGCAATGGAGGGGGAATGGTAAGGAAGGGAAACGGCTCTGATCCCTCAGCATTCGCACTCAGGGCTTCACAGGGGAACTCACTTGGGTGTATAGCACACAGTGTGCACCGCGACACAAGAGCATGCCTCGGGAACAACAGCACGCCGGCCTTTGCCTCCTCCCTCAAGCGGAACCCCAACCGGCCCCTGATTTCTGGGTCAAAAGAGGGGACTCCCACAGGAGCCGGATCCCAGATTGCTTCTCCATTTTACCATTTTGAACACTGACTGTTGACTACAACCCTCCTTCTGTAAGAGGCCTCCCAAAGCCCAGGGATGGGGGAGAACCAAACATAGGAAGCAAGGAGTGAAGGGATTTCATATGTCAAAACCAGAGGGGTTCCCACAGGCTCCTGATGCCCCTTCGTCATTGGAGCTAAGCAGTCCCGGATCCGGCCGCTACTCGGGCTAGGCGACTGCTTGTGGATTGTAGCTCACGGCCTCAAACGGAAGGCGAGACGACATCAATATCAAAGGGGGAACCGGGACCTTCTTGCCGATAAGGAAAGATAACTGCACACGTACTCGCGAGGGTATCTTTTTTTCTGGGGAGAGCCAAGCATCCGTTCCGCGGATGCCGGTGAAGACGGGCATAAGGGGATTCGGGGGAGAGGGAGGGAAGCGGGCCGCCGTTTGGATCTGGGCCGCCGAGCATCCGCGCCGCCGTTGTGCCTCTCGGCGGGAGCCCGGCGCAGGTCTGCTTTTGGCATCCGGCCGCCGGAATCGGGGAAGCGCCGGCGGTGTTTCTTCTGGGCTCCCGCGCTCGCGGCTCCAGGCTGACCCCCATGACGTCTGGGGGGGTTTAATGGCACTTCTGGGGTGGGTGCTGAAGAAAGGACCAGGGGCGGGGTCTATGGGGGAGGTGGGATCTGCGCCCCGAGGAGGTCATAGGCGAAGATGTTCCAGAAGATGGCGAAGACCAAGAAGGTGGCATAGGACAGGAGGACCACCCACCAGCTGCACTGGTCTTGCAGGTTCTCCTCGTAGCTGCGGAGGATGGTCAGGCCCATGCTGATGCCGACGATCGCCCCTGCCAGGTGGGCCATGAAGCTGGGCTGGGGACCCGACGAGGGCAACGGCGGGGAGAAGCGCAGCCACACGGCGCGGCCCACCTCGGAACTCACTGCAAAGGGACCGAGAAGGAGAGAGAATGGAACACGATCCCTCCCCGAATCCCCCGTTCGTAAAACGAACCAGGAACAAAACTTCCGCATACTTACTACACACCAACGCCAAGACCATCCGGAGCAGTTTGTACGGGCACCGCATCCCCGCCCAGTTCTGCAGACAGAGAGAGAGGAGAGAAAGCATTTGCCTGCCTCTTACCAGCTTCTCCCCAGATCCGAACCTCTCCTTCGACCTCGGGGCCCCGCTCCAAATTAGAAACGGAAGCATTCCTTCCTCTTATGGCGAACGTGTGTGATTTAAAGATTATATGTTGTCCTCCCGTACCCCTTGAATCATTGTTAGTCCCGTGTTTATTTGAGTAACTGTAAATCGCTCAGAGCCAGCAAGCTCTGCAGGATTGAGCGATTAATAAATTGAAATATTATTGTTGTTGTTGTTGTTGTTATTATTATCATTATTCAAAGCACCAACCTTTGGCTAATGGATAAAATGTGATTCTGCTTTTTGCCTTAAGTGGATATTAGCGGCGTCTTTGTGATATCTCTTGAACAGTTATTTTTAACTGGTGTTGACAATATAAGCATACACATATTGATCACACTTAATGTAACTAATAAGCTTTTTAATAATTTAGCTTTTTATATATATATAAGCTTTGGTAATGGCCACCACCTCTTCGGTTTTTAGTGGTTTTCTTTCACCTGTAGTTTGTAGAAACCCTTCCTCGTTTCTTTGTAGTTTATAGAAAATGCAATAAAAAATATCCCTTCGGGGGTTAAAAAAAATGTGATTCTGCTTGAAACATGGTGTAGTGGTTAGTGTCAGACGAGGATCTGGGAGACCCAGATTCGAATCCCCCACCCCGGCACAGAAACTCACTGTGCGGCCTTGGGCCAGTCACATGTGCTCAGCCTAACCTACCTCACAGGGTTGTGGAGAAGATAAAATGGAGCAGAAGAGAATGACGTAAGTCGCTTTTGGTTCCCTTGGGGAAAACAGTGGGGCCTAAATGAAGTTAGTGAATAAGTACGTGGTTTGGGGCTCGCAGGAATTTCTCTTCGGAACATTCGAAAGCGGACTCTCCTGTCCTGCTCAAGGTGCTTCTGGACTATCACAGATTATTACTGAGAGGCTGTGGCCCAGTGGAAGAGCCTCCGCTTGGTATGCAGAAGGTCCCAAGTTCAATCCCCGGCATCTCCAGTTCAAAGGACCAGGCAGCAGGTGATGGGAAAGACCTCAGCCTGAGACCCTGGAGAGCTGTAAAGAGGGGCCGTGGCTCAGTGGAGAAGAGCTTCTGCTTGGCGTGCAGAAGGTCCCAGGTTCAATCCCCAGCATCTCCAGCTAAAAGGACTAGGTGGTAGATGGTATGAAAGACCTCCGCCTGAGACCCCGGAGAGCTGTGAAGAGGGGCTGTGGCTCAGTGGCAGAGCCTCTGCTTGGCAGGCAGAAGGTCCCAGGTTCAATCCCCGGCATCTCCGGTTAAAAGGACCAGGCAGGAGGTGATGGGAAAGACCTCCGCCTGAGACCCTGGAGAGCTATAAAGAGGGGCTTTGGCTCAGTGACAGAGACTCTGCTTGGCATGCAGAAGGTCTCAGGTTCAATCCCCGGCATCTCCAGCTAAAAGGACTAGGTGATAGATGGTATGAAAGACCTCCACCTGAGACTCTGGAGAGCTATACGTATGAAAGACCTCCACCTGAGACTCTGGAGAGCTATAAAGAGAGGCTGTGGCTCAGTGGCAGAGCCTCTGCTTGGCACGCAGAAGGTCCCAGGTTCAATCCCCGGCATCTCCAGTTAAAAGGACCAGGCAGCAGGTGATGGGAAAGACCTCAGTCTGAGACCCTGGAGAGCTGCAAAGAGGGGCTGTGGCTCAGTGGCAGAGCCTCTGCTTGGCACGCAGAAGGTCCCAGGTTCAATCCCCGGCATCTCCAGTTGAAAGGACCAGGCAGCAGGTGATGGGAAAGACCTCCGCCTGAGACCCTGGAGAGCTGCTGCTAGTCCGAGTAAACAATGGTCTGATTCAGTGGAAGGCAGCTTCACATATGTCCATCATCCCCTTTCGGATTCTATGTTCTGCGACATTCAAATTTTACACTAGATGCTTAGCTATGACTGCCTTTTGGGCACCGGAAGACTGGATCCACTGAGAAACGTATGACATAGGGTAGGGAGAGGGGAATTTAAATGCCCACTCTCTTGTGAACCCCCTGGGTGACCATCAGCCTGTCTCTCGTAGTCTAGCCAGCCTTACAGGGGTGTCATGCGGACGAAGATGCAGACAGGAAGAAGTCTGTCTGCCGCTAGGAGCTACATATAGGAACGGAAACGTGGGCGATAGCACGGAGAAGCCACCCTGCCCTGGCCGGGACCCAAATGTTTCCACCTCGCCGAGTTCCCCAAGGATCTCACCATGACGACATTGGCCAGGTGGGCGGAGCATAGAGCGTAGACACCCCCCGAGCCTCCGACCAAAGGGGCTCTCATGTCGGTGATGGAGACAGTCAAGGAACCTGCAGATCGAGAGGAGGGGGAGAAATCAAAACAGC